AGCTCCCGTTTGAGAAACTAGTACAGCACAGGGCTTTTTTATCTTGTTCTGGGGAAACTGAGCGCTTCACAGCTTTTGATTGCAATGTAACACGTCCTGTGACATGGAAAGAAACTTCCCTGTGCTCGCTGCAGAAGGAAATTTGAAACCTATGGGCAATAAAACCCTTGAGCTGGGCCATACTGATAGTGGCGCTTCTTGGGGCAGGGTGTTGTTATGGCCACAGGGAGCTTGTGGGCAGGAGCCGCAGCACCTGGGGAGAGCCGGGGGGGCCACAGGGGAAGAGCTGTGTTGAGGAGGGTGCAAGGGCTGAGCCTGCCCAGGGGATGCAGCCCTAAAGCAGGCAGAGGGGAGAGTTCAGGATGTGTGGGAAAGGCTGAGCAGGCTTTGGATGTGCTTTTCTGCCTGCAGTAGTAACAGGGTAAGTAGCACAAATTAACTCTTCCCTCCCCAGTAGGTTGTCCCCTGCTGAGTGGTGATGCTGGCCACATCCTTTGTGGTTGCTAGAGCCACATGAGGCACAGGGTGCCACCGCCTTGCACGTGGTGGCTGCAGGACCAGCTCTGCTCTGCTCCCAAACAGCACTGGAGGGCATTTGGCTGTGTCTGGCCATGGGGCATGAGCTTTGAACGTGCTTGAGGCCACTCTCCTTGGGCTTTGAGGTTTTCTCTGGCTTGCCTGTAGGAGATGGTCTGGAGGCACGCAGTGAAGGTGCTTTTTGACCAAGGGATTTTGCTTGTGTGTTTTCATCATGCGTAGGGGCAGGAATTCTACTGTTCAGGTTGGTAGGTTTCCCCTACAGCTGGGAACGAACCTCTGGCAAGAGGTGTTTCCTGCTGGTGTTCCCAAAGGACTGGTGTTTATGTGGAAAGGGAGTCCCATGTACCTGGCTTGTTGCAGGTGAGAAATCTGAAGTACCCTTGTTGCTTGGGTGTACAGACTGTGCCAGACTGAGCGGGAGCAGCAGCCACATTACGCTGCCGTGGTGGCCGAGTGCTAATTGTTTTTACTGCCTGCGCATCAGGTTATTTTTGGCTTGATCATGTTTCATTCCCCGCAGGTCTCTGAGGCTTCCTGACCTGCAGAAACTGCTTTGGGAGAGTTTCTCTTCTCCAGGGTAGTGAATTCACACCCCTCATCCAGGGCATGGGTGGCAGTATATTCCTCCCATTAAAAAAAATGCAAATTCTTCTGTTGTTGCTTTAAGACCTCTTGCTAGCCCAGAGTGTGCAAAGCCATGTGCTGCAGCTGGTGTGGAAGAAAACCACTGGGAGATGGGGATAGTGATGTACTGACGCAGCTGGCGGGCAGGTTCTAATCGTCCAGATTTCCATTCCCAATAGAAGTCTAGGCAGGGAGCTGGTTGAGTCACCATGGGTTTGGGATGTGTGGTTGCAGAAGTACAGCACAGAGATAGCTGTACCTTGGTAGTTACATGGGGACATGGAGAGTTCTGGCTCAGGGTCTGCTCCACCATGGATTTCCTAGGGAAACTTGTATTAGGCTCTTTGGGTAGGATCCGCAGAGATGCTTTGTGGCTCTCAAGTGTGTTGTTGGGTTAGACGCAGGCGATTTGCCTCGTCCCTCAGGATTTCAGAGTCCTGAAGTGTCTGAGGTTGTTTACCAAGAGATTTTCTGCATGTAAAAGTGAGCAGACTGAGCCTTCATATGTGGGGGGGAAAAAAAGGAGTCTTAGATCCCACTTGATTAGGCAACAGCCTAATGTTTGCAAGAGGCAAGGTTTTTAGTGCATCTGTGGATCCTGTCCTTCATCTCCTGGTGTTTCCAAAGTGGGGATGTCATCTGTCCTGAAGTTGCAGGGCTGTAGTAAGGTGAGATTGTAAAATATCAAGATACTTTGTTAATGAGCCTCGTGGACAAGAAGGAGGAAGAGGTGGAAAACAATATGTGGAAAGTTGTCTTTCCCTTTCTGCTGGTCTTGCTTTTGTATGGCTGCTCTGACCTGTGCATCCATAGCCTCTCTTCTTTGCCCTGCCTGTGTGTTTGAGCCCAGGCTTTCTCGCTGCCTCTGTAGTTGAGTAGGTAGGGGGTCCAGAGCAGCTGCTATGGACCTGGCACTGTCCTCACCAGCAAAGAGACAGGGCCACCAGAGACTGGGGGAACAGCAGAAGATCTGGACAAATGCGTTACGGCTGCTGGGGCCTTGCAAGAGAGATGCTGAGGGCATCAGCCTGGCTGTGAGAGCCGGGTACAGCGTGGCCGCTGCGCCGGGTGCCCCTTTCATGCCCCTTTCAGAGCTCCCCCAGGCTTTGCCAGGGTGCTCCCAGGGGAACTCCAGTGTTGCAAAGGGACGCCATTGCTGCTTCACACTTACTAGTGGTTCTCAGCCTGTGGTCCATGGAAGATGCCTAGGCATGGCAAGTGCCCAGTGCCCTGCTAAGCTGTTACAAAGGACATACATCCCACTGCACCTTCTTGGTTAACGCTTACGCATAACAAATCAAAGTGGGCTCAAGATGCTGAGTTGTCTCAGGAGTACTGACTTGGGAGATCTAAAACAGGGTAGGAAGAGTCCTCTCCCCGGCCTGAATGTGATAAAGCTGAATGAACTTGTGGCCAGCTTAAATGTATAAACCTTTCACTTACTATCCCAGCTTGACTCCGGTTCATTTTCTCTTCATCTGCTTGCAGACTGAAAGTGCCCTCGAACCCTTGGAGCGAGAGGTACTGTAGAGCCACCTCTTTAATTCGAGGAGCACTGCTTTGTTGGGTAAAAGGCTGCACCATGGATGGCAGTGCCACTGAAACGACATCCAGCTAAGCAATAGGCAGCAACCCTGTCCCCAGGGCCCCCTGGGGAGCCGTGTCCTCGCAGGCAGGGAGGAGAGCACCCATCCGCTGCTTGGCAGCAGCTTGCTGAAGGCATAGGCAGTCAGCTTCAGGTGCCTACGGGAAGGGGGTCTGGTTCCCCTCTCAGAGAGCCATGCACCTGCCTCGGTGGGCGCGCAGCTCTGGCTGCTGCAGCATCACCGCATGTGTGGTTGAGTCCCCCCTCTCCCGTGCTGCAGAGCTCCTCTTCTCTCCAGACGCTGGGAGGGAAGCGGAGGTGCTGGGGGAAGAGCTGTGGAGGTGGGGAGAGCTCGAGCTATCATTAGCGTGGCACCAGTGAGGTTTCTTTGCACCACGAAGCAGCCGCTCTCAAAACTGAGTGCAGTATGCTGAACAGCTCAGCAAGGGAACAGACACTGAAAGGAGCCCACAAAGAAAAAGGATTTTGGAGATAAAAAACCAACCTTCCTTCGACTGCACATAGGCGCTGCCCATCACTGAGAGCTGTGGCGGGGAGTAGGGATTGCCTGTTTATGGTGATTGATCTGCGCAGCCCCTGGGATGCTCAGAAAACGGATTAAGGAGAAAAGAATCGCAGGAGAAGGAGGAGGTGGAGGTTCCCCTTTGAAAACGCACGGGCTAATAGAAAACATCCTCTAAATTGTCAGTGTGTCAGGATACATTAATGTAAGTATAACATTTTCAAATTCTCGGCATCTTCTATCTGAATGTCATTGAATTAGCACTAATGCATTCGTTAGCTCATTATTCATTAATATTCAATATTCATTAGACTGGCTCTTTCTCTGGAAGATGGGGATAATGAGACGTGGGACTGGCTGCGGGGCCATGCCGTAGCTCTGCTTAGCGTGGTAGGAGTGTGGTTTTATGTACCAGAATGGCCTTTGGTGATTGCCTTATTGGCACTCATATCTGGCCTACATTGTCCCAGTGCTTGGCCAGTGGTTTACCACAAATGAGTGGAAATTCTTAATGGGAGAGCAGTGCTAATGATGACGTGGATAAATTTCCACCAACTCCTGCCCTAAAAGTCACTGGTGAGACAACTGATGAAGGCAAATGCTGATCTTTTGGCCTGCTGTCAGAGTTGCAAAACTGCCTCTGTAATCACAGAGATGTTGCTATCTTCATCGGTGAGTCATGGGGTCTCCCCTTCAGCCCCCACCACTGTCCTTTACTTCTTGCCCTCAGGAGAGAACCTCTAGATCTGAAGATGTCATCTCTCCCCCCCCCTCTTTTTTTCCTTTTATCTTCTCCCCTTCTCTCTTTCTTCTCTCTCTCTATTTCTTTTTCTTTCTTTTTTTTCCCTTTGTTTTTTCTGTCCCATCTGCTCTTCCCCTGCCATTTCTGACCATGAAGAGGACAGAGCAGGAGGTGTGGATAGCCAGCTTTCCCTAGCAAGTAACGGAGAGGCATCCAGAGGTGCTGGCTGGTGTAGCCAGCACGCTCAGCACCCCAGGTCCTATCAAGCCCAGCAAGCCTTGGGTCTCTCATCCCTGGGAAGGTCTTTGGTGACCCAGAGCCGATAGGATGCTGCTGCTCAGGCCCTCTGCCAGACTTTTCCTTCAGCTAGCAAGTCTTCCTGGAAAGACTGTGCTTTGCTCCCTGCTAGAGCCTGCAGGGGAGAGAGAGTGGCTGAATTGGTACCCAGCACCTTTACGGGGGTGCGAGGGTCCTCCTGACAGCGTGGCATGCCTGGGGCACCATGCATCAGCCCTTGGTTCAGGGCTTTCCTCCCTGCATCCCAGGAGCTGTGTTGGGCCAGGTGAGGGACATGGGATGGCCTCAGGGTGGTCCTGAGGCTCGGCGTGAGGGAGAAGAGCGTTCAGCAGAGGGGTGTCGCTTCAGGATTGGGCTGGATAGCCAACCACAGAAACAGGTCTCTTCTGGCTTCAGTGGCAGTGCAGTTCTGGTGGGAAAGCACTCAACACCCCAGCTGCTGAGTCTGGGTCTGCCAGGAGCAGAAAGGACCACAGGAACTGCTGTAAAAAATCAAATAGAGGTCAAGCTTTTCTTTTTGACACATCACTCTGGCTTTGGGGTGGATTTTGTGTGCAGATGATCTAGATTTGAGTACACGCAAGTTATTGTGACAATTTGGGTCAGCAAACTCCAGACAAGCTAAATCTTCCAAACTTTTCTCCAAGCAGCTACCGTTTGAGCTTATTGCCTTGTGCTCAAGAGTAGGCATGAGTATACAGCTTCCACCTTCCTCCTGTGAGGTTGTTTTCCATTGTCGCACTTCTGAAGTATTTCTAGACCCTGGCTGCTGCATCTGGCTTAGTTACTCAGTGGAATAAGAGCAAAAAACCCGCAACCAAAAAAACCACAACCCTGCAATCCAAAAGAAACACCTGCAAAGCCCTGAGTAGCTGAACTTGCTTGCTGAAAAGCATTTTGCCTGTGGTCTGCTGAAAGGGTTTTATTAGACCCTTGGTCCCAGGATTCAGTCTTTGCACTGTCCCAGCGAGACCTCTTCGCTTTGCCTTACAGAAAGAGTTACGCTGGGCACTTGCAGACGTGCCTGTCCGCTCTTGTCTGGGCAACCACAGGGAGGGGTTTTCCTGCAAGAGGGAAATCCCTCACACGGCAGCGGGACAACACTTGCACGAACGATGCCAAAATAACTGGCACCTCGTTTTATTACTCTCCGGAGACTCGTAAACTCTTTAGACACAAGCATAAACGCAGGGTTTCCAAGGTTTTACAATTGCAGGGTGATAATGGAGTGATTTCGCGGGACTCTTGACACCTCTACCTTTATACCACCATGCCAAGGAAGAAGTTATCTCTTCCACTGTAGCTTCTGTCAGTTATCTTTGTCGTCTTCTTATCCCAGACAGTATTTGTAGTTTTTGCTTGCTGTCACCTTCTGTATCCCAGAAAGCAACGTATCCTCAAGGAAAGCCTTGCCTCTGGCTTCTTCTTGTTCTGGGGCTGGTGTGCTCTGGCACAACGTGGGGGCTGCAGCATCTGGCGGGGGAGGAAACAAATAGATACCTGAGACTTGTGTGGCATTTGGCCTAAAATGGCAGCTGAAGGGTGTGATGTATGGCACGGAGAAAGACAAAAGGCAAAGCATAACTTAATTACTTTAATTTGCCTAGTCTGGGAAACAGCAAAGAGGTACTGTTGGGCATAGCCTCATGCTGGGAAAAGCCAGACTACCGTTTGTAGGTCAAAAGCATTTACAGCTAAATGCCCATGCTAAAGCCACGCTACTCTGGTTTTTTTCTTCCCCCACCCCCTTCCTGCAGATCCTGGTGATGGTGGGATCACCGTGAGATGAGCCGCCCGTAGCCGGGGCCGGCCCTGCCACCAGGGCTCCCTGCCCCAGGACAATGAGGAGCCGTCTGCCAGCCTAACAGGAAGATTTTGCGGCAGTGGTTGTTTTGGGTTTTTTTTTCTTTTTTTTCTTTTTTTTTTTTTTTTTCCACCAAACCTTGTGAAATTTTATGTGACGGCGGAGCCGCTTCCTGCACCCCACCTTGCACTGCCTTGCAGCCGAGGGCTCGGTGGCAGAGGGCCACCACCCCCCCCCCCCGCCGCTGATGAAGAAGCACAGCCAGACCGACCTGGTGAGCAGGCTGAAGACACGCAAGATCCTGGGGGTCGGCGGGGAGGACGATGATGGCGAGGTCCATCGCTCAAAGGTGAGGGGTAGGGGAGAGGGAAGCCCGCACGCAGTAATGATGGAAAAGAGACCTTCTGCCTAGGCAAACCGGGGTGGTATGGTTTTTTCTCAGCATCTAACTTCTGCAGCCTCTTTTGCAAAAACAGGGCAGCTCCTGTAAAATGAGGGGTGAAGGCTCTGGTGGCATGAGCAATGCTGCCTTTGAGCAGCGATGGGCCACGCAGCCTGCGGGGTGCACGGCAGCTGCCCGAAATGGCTTTTCATGGTAGTGGGGTGAGGTTTGCCCTCAAGCTGCTTTAATCCGTTCCTGAAATTGTATTGCTGAGGCACCCATGAGCTAGCTCAGAGCTGGTGCCGTAGCGCCATGGCACCTCCGATGCCCACCAGCCAGTGGCCTGGACACCAGAGCAGCGATTTAAGCAGTGGTGCTGCGGTGCCTCTTGGAAGAGGCCTGAATTGCAACCAACCAAACTGTTGCAGTGAAATACTAGAGGTGGTGGACAAGGGTGAGCCCTGCAGCAGCCCTGTCCTGGATGCTCTCTGGAGAACTCGCTGGCAGCACCCTGCCAGCCTCCTGCCTGCGCTTGGGGAGCAGCGCAGAGCTCTCTGCAGCCAAAAGGTCCCCCCAGTGCCTTTCCCTGTTCCTGGTCTGTGTATCCTTCCCATCGGTGTTGTTTGGGGAAGTCACGGCTGGGCATCGCTCTGGGCAGTGTGAATGTGAGAGCAGGATGGACGCTGTGACACCCCAAGGGCTCTGCTGGAGCCTGTGCCCCATTGGGGTGTCACAGCCCAAGGGTGGTGTGTGGGGAGGAGACAGTTCCCTAGGAGCCAAGAGTTAATGTTGACCCAGCCCCACGCTGCTCATGGCTGAGCCCAGTAAAGGAGCAGTAGAGGCTGCAGCTCCTGATGGAAATCAAGGCAGCCTTTGGCAGGTGTTGGGACTGAGGGGTGACAGATGAATCCCTTGTCCTCATCCTCCTTCCAGCTCTCTTAGAGATGAACTCCTGCATGGGGTTAGGTATGCACTTTTGGGCTGGCAAATACTGCCTAAAGGCTGGGGAAGGGTCTGCTCAGTCAACTTATATCTTTTATTTGAATTTCAGATTAGCCAAGTACTGGGAAATGAAATCAAGTTTGCTGTCCGGGAACCACTGGGGCTCAGGTAAGATACTGGGCCACCTTGGAGCTGGGTCATCTGAGGGTCCTTGGCCACAGCATCCCTGACAGCTCTGGCTGCTGACACTGGCTCTGCTGCTGTGCCAGCATCACTGCTCCCTGCAGAGGCTTTTCAGGGACCGCAGGACCAGACCAGCTCTGCTTTCTTCCCCCATAAATCAGCCTCAGCCCCTCAAGCTCTTGTCCCACAGCAGGTGCTGGGAACCACAGGGGCTGGAGGAGCTCCTTGGTCTCATGTGAGACAGCGTGGTGCGTCCTGTGGGGACCCCCTCTCTGCGCCATCCTCTTGGCAGGGTCACTTTCCTCCTCTGCTCGGGTGAGGGGGAGTTTGGCTTTCTCTCACCAGCGAGCAGTCTGCATGCTGAGGCTGGAGGTAGCTGGGGCATGGGGAGCCGAGTTCTCCTACAGGAGGCTGGTGGCTGCCTCAGTTGTGCGAGGGGGGAGGATGAAGACTGATGACTGAGCAGACAGCCAGGAATGCTTTGCGAAGTATGAGCGATGGGATTGCCCCTGTGCTCACGCCGGGTCCTCTGTCTTCCCTCCCACGCAGGGTCTGGCAGCTGGTTTCCGCCATCATGTTTTCCGGGGTCGCCATCATGGTAAGTGAGGGACATGGTCCTGGGCACCACCAGCTCCTGGCTGGAAAGTGGTGCCCCACCGTGGCTCACCAGCCCCCGACATTTATCCCCCTCCTCTGCCTCCACCAGCTGCCTCCGTTTTCTCTTGCAAGGCCTTTGCCCTCACCATGTCTTGGTAATGGGTTTTGCTAGCAGTGTCCTTGGTGGTTTGTTCCCATCACTGGAGTCTGTTTTCATTAGCAGGGTCATAAACCACACATGGCAGGGCAGCTTCGGCCATAGAAAATGCGCCTCCTTAATTTTCAATTTCCTGGCCAGCGGTTCCGATCCCATAAAACTCTATGTGGGAGCGCTGCTGCCCAAGAGGGCACATTTTGGTGGCCCTGGCCAGTGCAGGCTGTTGAGTCTCTCCCTTGCCTCTCTGCCAGGCCCTTGCGTTCCCTGACCAGCTCTACGACGCTGTCTTTGACGAGGAATCGGTGAGCAGCAAGACTCCCATCCGGCTCTATGGAGGAGCCCTCCTCAGTGAGTGCCGTGCCGCTGTACCCAGGGCACACCGCTGCCCCGTAGAGTAAGGGGACGAGAGGTCAAAATGGCAGGAGGGGTCCAAGTCTGTGCCCAGCAGGACAGCTGCAGCTGGAGAGCAGAAGAAATGCTCTTAGCAAAGAAATGGTTTGTTTAGGGGTATTTTGAGCAGCTTAGCTACTGCTGCTTTTTCCTAGCAGGGGCTCAGGCTTGCTGCAGGCAGGGTAGGAAGGGCTGTGCACACACTAAATAGGTGGGGGAGTACCCCTACGTGCCCCAGCGAAGGGGAATTGCAGCTGGGCTGGGAGGCGGGGTGCTGGGCTGCAGCTGGGGCCGGACCCTCCTCGCGGGAGCGGGAGGCAAGAAGGGGCAGGGGAGGCAGCCCGGGAGGGCCCCATGCGAGAGGCCCAGGGGGTGTGGGGGGCAGAAGGGGAGGGCAGCCTGGAGGAGCGGCCGGGAGAAGAAC